AGAAATAAGTAGCATACAAAATACAAACCCATTTCCTCAAATTGTTTTCTGGTGAACAAGTTGAAGCAGTAGCCAGGTTTACATCTACCAGCTCTACCTCGCCTCTGTGTAACGCTGGCCTTGGAACACCAATGAGTACCAAGACAAGAAACCTGGAAACATTAACTTATGGTTTAATAATACATAAATATTAAGTAAGTAAACAATAGGAAGGAAATAATGCTACTTAGAAGTGTTGATTAGACAGTAGAAAACAAGGTAAGCATAGTTTAGTAACATTTTTAAACAACTTACTTCTTATGCTCTATTACTTTAACATTTCAAATCCTTTTGTTTTTTTTCAATTCTCCCTTTTTGAACTTTCTTTTTCYCTTTCATTTGTYCRTTCATTCATTCAATTACCAAACAAAATGTATAATCATAGATTGAAAATTATATATCAATAATTAAGAATGAAGAGTGACACCTTTTTTTGTTCATCATAAGTCTTTTCTTTCACATTGCCTGCATTGATAACATAAGTCACGTCATTGATTGTTATTGAAGTCTCAGCTATGTTGGTTGCCAAGATGATTTTCCTTATCCCTGAAGACGGTCTGTAAAGCAGCAAGAAAAAAACAGAGATCCTCACTAATTGCTTTTTGAGTGTTACATAATAAGCCTGATTTTCACATGGGAAGTATGCAGAGAAGATGAAGGAATGGGAATGAAAGATTTTCCTTTGTTATTCTACTTTCTTTACGTTTTTTTTTTCACATATAAGCACCTTCCTTCTCCATCCCCTTCTCCACTGACTTCACTAACAAAAACCAGGCATTAGAAATGCCATTTTTTTTTCATTATGAGAAATTACACAAAATAGTCAATTTGCAGCTACACAATTTTCTAAAACAAAGCATGAGTCAGTGGGAAAGCAGTGAATGCACTGTTTGTCAAAAAAAATCAGTTTAGCATTTTCTTTGCATAAAAGCACATCTTTGTGTGGTGTCATTTGTGTCAAAATTTTTGCAAAGAAAACACAAAATCTGCTACATAATTWCATAAACCATTGTTCATTGGAAATGGTGCAGATACACWACAGCCTGTGTTAATAACAACCTGTCAAACACTTGGTTTTGATTTGCCAAAGGTAACATGGAGTGCAGAGGAAGAACACAGTAGCAAGCTTTCTGGTGAGAAATAAAATATAAAATATATAAATTGCAAGATTTTTTTCTTGTTCAAATGTTTTTATTGGACCAAAGAAAATGACATAATAAACTGAGAGGGAAAAAAAAGAAAAGAAAAAGAATGTGACCAGAAAATTTTTATGGCAAATCATAATCATTTCTAATACTATGACATCATGCACCCTCTGACATTCAGCTTTGTTTATGTTGCCAACCAAATTCAGTGTCTGTCGGTACATTTTCTCGTAATAACAGGCATTTCTTATAAATTTAAGTTTGCTTGGCAGATTTGTACTTTGCACATCAAGTGCACAGTTTTAATAATTAAACCAAAAGACAAATATTCTCTTGCCTGTTGTTGTGGTATTTTTTCCATTAGTAAGTCGTACACTGTCATGATTTCATCCCATCCAGATAAAAAACACAATATTGCACCCTGTTGATACACAAAATGATGGAAAAAAAACCATGGCTATCATACTGTACATTATCAATATCTGATATCATTATATCAATTCATTTAATTCTTATAATTTTTAATTGATGGAATTTGTATATTATTTAGGCCTTGGTCTACGCATCTACTGTGAAGAGAGTYTTTTTTAGGATTTCTCCTTGCTCAGCACTATATGGCTTATATGACAGTATCATACTCTGTAAATGCTTCGACACCAAGATGCGTGTCATCTTCAACACTTGTTTCAAGCTACTACTAACAGTAACTTACTACATGAAGTAATGTTCGTAGCACATAAATGAAAAATAAGCGTAAACCTTGCATTTGTAAATGTAATTTAGGATTTCAAATTGTACTTGTCTGATACCTCTTGGTATGTTCTGGAAACATGCAGGATCACATCAGTGGCCAGATGAGGGTCTACATCAGGCAAAACTTTRACCTTTCATTTGTTTAAAAAAGAAATAGTGATGTACAGTAAGTAAGTATTCATTCTTTATAAGTGGATTAAACAAACTCTATTACTTGTCATATATGGCATGAAACAAAGAGATTGCCACTCAAATAAACACACAATGAATTCAAACTTGGCCATTGCTGTGCTACAGTAATAGTTTTATAATAATTTTGTTATTTTCTTATAATATCACTTCAATAATTATCATCCAAATATCAATTTTATCAAAATGAATTTTAATGAATACTCTGGTAGAGCCGAGCTTAAAAATGTGTCAAGTTTTGCTTCACAACAATGGCAAGTGTACAGTTCTTTTCACCTACTCAACACCCCAGTACAAATATATGGACAGGGAACTAGTATTGYCTATTAAGGATAATATTAAGTAGATCATTTTTCAATACAAAAATTTCAGTCAAACTCAATATTGTGGAGACATTTTCAAGTTTATATAAAGAATCTTGTATATTTTTTTGCATTGGTCTTGATCCTAATTCTTAGATATATCCAAGAGGCATTGTCTGTTCTTAAAAACATGTTAATAGCTTGCGTGATTTACTAATCGCTGAATCTGCTATTTTGTAATATTGAAAAAGGGCATTGTATTTCACAATAACTCAAAAATAATAATTATAAGTATAGTCTTTTATTTCATAATAAGTTAACTATCGACAGCTTGATTTACTTTTATAAAGTGCTTTTTCGACTTTAACTGTATTTCCAAGGTCAGGGTTATATGGGTTATATTGACCATTAGTCAAAGATCAGGAGTCCAAATACCTGAAAGTACTTCAGTTTTACCATCATAGATGTGTGCTAGAGGATTGCTACGACAAAGGGGATTTTAGCCTTGTACCTGGGGTGYTGAGATAAATATATCATACATTGTTGGTTAGTAAATATCTAAAAGCATAAAGATTAAGAAGTACAATATTCTTGTCAGGCACAAAACAAAAACAAACAAACAAAAARCAAAAGCAAAAACAAAATAAAAAGCAAACAATTTATGAAGTGAGGGAAAAAAAATCAAAGTAGCCAAAAACTGATTCAACCAATCATCTATCAGGCTAAAAARTCAATCATTGTAGCAAATGTCAATCTGGAGCAGCCTTTCCTACAGGTAAATAACCAATCAGACAGTAGACAACAATTAATAATCAGTCTACCATCACCTACTAAGTACTACTATCCAATCAAACAATCAGCCAACCCGCTGACTATCCACCACACCAATCCGACAACAATCCGACCAGTCTGTCAACCACCTTACAGTACCAGCCATCCATTCCAACAACTTGACCATTCACAGAAACCAACCATCTGACATCAGCCACAAAACGACTATCAAAATATTATTAGAAACCAAACCACAATGAAGTTTGTATTATGAATACCTCAGCATTAACATCATTAGCAAGTTTAAATCTCTTGCTGTCCTGGTTWCCAGGCAACCACTGTTGTTCTTGGCCAGGCTTTGGAGGTAACATCTGCTTGAGTTCATCAAGAAAGTACTCTGTGACAGGATGAGTGAATCCTGAAATATTCACCTGTTGGCAGCTGAAAAGAAAGTAAATGCAAGTCTTTAACATTGTCCAATTCTATAATCTATGAATAGACTATTTTATCATAATAATTATCTCTTATTCTCAAAATACCTCAATTTTTCCATTTCATAAAGTTGTTATTTTCACTAGAAGTGAAAATAACTGTATATAGCAGAAGCAAGAAAAAAGTATTATTTGCTTTCATATGTAATGATATGATAAACAGAATATTACATGGTCGCTTGAAGATATGAATTTTATCTTTTAGTGTTGAAAATATTTTCAAGACTTGAAGATAAAAATAAATCTGCATCTCTGCGCACCCATGTAATATCCTCTATATCTGTTAACATAGTCTTTAAATTATCATAACCAGGAGCTTCATTATTATTGTTTAAATTAAGAAATTAGGGAATGACAGGGGGCATCGTCTTGGAAAGTTCATAAAAGATTGTTTTAGATCATGCTTATTACAACATTATTGAAAAAAAAAATGGATTTTATACTCTCACTATACAATGTACTTACTTGGAAAAGTATTCACAGAATCTATGCGAGTCTACTGTTGCACTCATAATGATAATTTTCAATGATGGACATGTGTCAATCATATCCTTGAGTAGGACCAATAGGAAATCAGTGTTGATATCTCTCTCGTGGACCTCATCAACGATAACATGACTGACTCCTAAAATCCACAATACATGTAATAATAAATTATAAGAATTGCAGCAATACAAATAAATTCATATCAAGTAAGTAGGATTTGATTMTAG